ATATAAATATGTTAAGAAAAATGGGAAGGAACTGTCTAAAATAATTATCACCCTAAATAGGATTCGGACAGTCTTTGATGAAACGTCAGAAGATGAATTTGTAAAGGGGTGGGGGCGGTTCTAGTCTGATTATCATCACATATGATGTATGACGAACGTCATATCGGATATATTGGTACGAATATAAAAACATGTTTGCTGAATTGAATTTCAAAACTGTTGCAATTAAATATATTAATTAAATCTTATGCGTATGTAAAATAGGATTAAAACTAATCTTCGGCGTAGAAATCTGACCAGGTCACAAACTTTAAAACTTTAATGTAAATGTCACAATAATATTTCATTACATAATATTTTTATTCTTTGACAGGGACACTGAACATCTTTTACATGTTTAAGAAACAAAAAATTTATATAATATATCTATCTAACATATTCTTTTACTTCTCAATAGTAACAGACGCAAAACACGGTTCTTAAACGCGTAGACGAACGCAGACGCACGCAAAACGTTTCTGGGGAAAACAAACGCACGCTTTCAAACGCACGATAAACGAAAAACGATACACGAAAAACGGTTAACGTTAAACGCTTGTAAACGATGCACGCTTGAGAAAGCGTTTCAACAAACGCACGTTGCACGATATACGCACGCACGTTACACGAAAAACGGACGCACGAAAAACGCTATTTTTGACAACCGAAACGTTCACCCTACTGTACAATGATCATAAACTATGAAAATGCTAAACAAAGTTTCTGTCATACGTTTAAATTCTTTTGCAAAATTTTATCAAAGTTTCTTACTCGGTCTGTAGCAGATGACAATCTGAAATTTACAGTTTTTCAGCCTCCTTTTGAAGAGTCAAAAATGCATACAAAGCTACTGAAGGCTTAGTTTCGCACACAAACATGAATTTAGCTCATTTCCTACATACAAATTACAAAGAATTACACCGACAAAAAAAAAAAACAATTTTCAACACCTTCAAAACACCATGTCTGTATTATTAATAAATTTCACCGGGGCCAAAGTACGAATATGTCCCCTGCCCCCTTATTAAAGAAAATTTTACTTTTACGAGACACAAAAATAAAACATAGCACTTACTCAAAACGATGCTCAAACACAAATACTGTTTTTCAGAATGGGAATTGTGATATTTGAGAAAAATCCCAGGAAAAGGTTTAATTACCTTCAGACCAGATCATTCGCTCACTCTGTTTTCCTAAAATATTCTTTTTTTTTTGTGCAAAATGCTCCCATTTAAACTCCAGTGTTAATCATTAATGCAGATGTAGATATGAATTATTCCATTAGAACCAGTATAAACTACGAGTGATGTGCACGAATAATGCCAAAATAAACTTATGGGCCTGTGAAACATAAAGAAACACCTGTTTTAATTAGATATTGTAGGTGAATTGGTTGAGCACGGGTATTATGATATAAAATAATTATTCAAATGAAATCGGTTTAACCACAATTGCTTTTTTGCATTCCTTTCTCTTTTAACTTTTCTGCAGATACCTAGATGTTATTATTAATTTGATATCTCGTAAAAAAACTTTACAGTGTTTATAGTAAGTTCTACAATCTTTCTAACATGCACCAAATGCTTATGTTAAATAGGTGCCTGATATTGTTTCTATACAAAAAATTAACACTGTTTTATATTCTAACGTTACAATTTCATAAAATTTAAGTTTTTCCAATAAACTTTTATATCATTTTTTAAATTATTGCATTTATGCCTGAATGATTGTTTTACCTATAAACACGTTTCCATTGATATAATGAATAAACGGCTGTTAAATAACATAGTGCAAAATTATGCTTATGAAGTGCATGCTAGAACCCATAAACAAATGTAACATTTACCGGAATCTTTAATTCTAAAATAATGATCATTCATCATTCAAATGTCAGTTTTACTTCTTTCTAATGTATAATCTACCCACTAAGATACTTGTAAACTTAATGGAGGTGTTTTTTATAACATTCATTCTGAGGCATACTGCTAAAATAAACATTAATACGAAGGCATGCTGTAAAAAAATGATTCGAGAGCACGCTGCAAAAATGCATTACTTGAGAATAACAGAATTACGAAGGTACGAAAAAAAAATCATAGGATCCAAAGAATAACATAAATCTGGACACGCTGCAAAGAATAGATACTGTTTAGGGAAGATCACTGCGTAGGAGATTGCATGTTGAGCACAAAAAATGCTAAAACGCTTTCAATGTTAATGCATCTAGTGTACATGCCATTACATTGTTGTTGTTTTTGTTTTCTTTTTCCGTCCCGTTTTCAGTTTGACTTCAATTTTCATTCAATTAAAATTTTGATTGGAATAACTTTCAGTTTCTTAAATGTTTTTCTTTTAGATGTGTGAAGTTGGTGGCCTGGCGGCGTGAAGCTAGCGGCCTGGCGGCCCAGCGGCCTGATCTTTTTCTTTTCATTTGTTTGGGTCGTCAGACCAAACAAATAATGGTAGCGGAATTTCAGACCCTGATATGCTTATTTGCAAAATCCGAAAGTAGTCCGAACTCCTCGAAGCGGCTATTTCCCTTTATAAGTTCACTAACGCCGAAAAATTAAGGGGAGATCACTGAGTAAAGATTGTCAAATGACAGGCGCATTAATTTTTAAGCCTTCTCGGGGAAGAAAAAATCGTTCCCGAAGATTTCTAATAGTCTGTAATTCTTTACAGATATACATGCTTATATTAAGCTCCTTGATTATTTACATCAGTGTTAAAGAACAGATTTACTGTGAACAAAATATTTTGAAATTAATAAGGATTACAAACCCTAATTCATAATAATGTCGGTTTCTTCAGGCTGTTTTCCTATAACTTCCCCGCGGTCGAGGGGTTACACGCACGATTAGGTAGCGAGAGGTCTGGAGTTCAAATTCCAGTATGTTGTTTATTTTATTTTTATTATTTTTTTTAAAATTGTTTATGCCAAATAAACATTAAATTGAATTTCTGTGTTGCAATTAGCCTTATAGCCAATTTACTACAGTTATAACACTGGAAACAGCATTGGTGGCACAATACAAAAACAAATTGGTTTATAATCTCACAACCTTCACCTTTCTGACATTCTGAGACCCAAACAAATTTAGCCAGCGCCTTCTACGCTTTGATCATATTTTGTGACCAAGCTTTTTATAATTATTTATAATTTTTTTGTTGTTTTTCCTTTTTTCCTCATTCAGATTTTAAAAGTTTACTTTAATTTTAAAGGCTTATGAGCTTATATCTTAATCGAGATTTTTTCCTTCGCTGTTTTTGGCTACTGCCAAACTCTTCACCAACATGTAGAAACCTTAAGTTGAATTTACATAAAATATCTAATAAAAGTTAACGTACAGTAATGTAGGAAAAATGTCTGAATGCCATGTTTCTGTCTAAAAAACAACACTGACACGGACGCTCTGTCTACTGCGCTATCAAAGCACATGAAAATATGACGTTTTACTTAGTGTTTCATTTATTAGGCTTCAGTATGCCTTACCTATTTTTTCTCATTGTTATCAATTTCTATGAAAACATAGGCTCAATATATTGTCCTGGGACAGTACTACAGCAAACATCCCCCAAGGTTAATATTTGAAAACAACGTGTGAAATATATCTCCAATATTTAATGCATATAAAACGTTTTTGAAACGTTTGTGTTCTGCAAAATTAAAATAATCCTCTGATATACTTAGAATGAAAAGTAGAAAAAAACTTCAAACTCAAAAATTGTCAAGAAGTTATATACTATCCTTTTAAAAATTTTTATAGGGCTTTAAAAAAAACGTAAACGATCCAGCTTGGTTGCATTCTATTATGTAATATAAACCAATTTAAAAAGAATCTGTGTTAGCCCCTTTCAATAAAAATAAGGGAAAGGCATTTTTTTTTTAAGTTGCCCCCTTTAAAAAAAGGACGGACTTTTTTTTCCCTTTCTCGTTTGGAAGGGGAATCCCGTGATGCGTGTATTGGGTCCCCACGGTCACTTTTTCCCTTAAAAGTCCTCGAGCAGTATGTGGTCACATGGTCGAAAATCTCTAATACAATGACAACGTTAACAAAGGCGTAAGGTTTCCAAGGGTCCAGATTTAAAATTCCTTACTAGTAGAAAAAAAATTAATAGGAATTGAGAAATAAAATCTTATTTAGGAGGAGCTTCAAAAGCTAAATACAGAATAAAAATTTTTCTAAAACTTCTTAGATGCAATCATGCAAAATTCTTTTGACCCCTTTCGCCATTTCTAATGTTAACAAGGGAGGTCACTCTTACCGACTCTATTTGTAGCGCAACAGCAACCTCCCTTTGGAGCCCTTACACCATTTGCAATATTATCAGGGTAGGCCACTCTAACCTTTTCTTTTATAACGCAACAGTCACCTCCCTTTGGAACCCGTACGCCATTTGCAATAATATCAGGGGAGGTCACTCTAATCGACTTTTTTTGAGCGCAATAGTTACCTCCCTTTGAACTCTAACGTCATTTGCAATGTTATAAGGGGAGGTTACTCTAATCGACTCTTATTTTGAGCGTAACAGTGACCTCCCTTTGAACTCTTATGCCATTTGCAATGTTATAAGGGGTGATTACTCTAATCAACACATTTTTAGCGAAAATGTTACCTCCTTTCAAACCTTACGCCATTTGCAATGTTTTCAGGGAGGTAACTTTAAGTGACTCTTTTTTAGTGTAAGAATAACCTCCCTTTTGAACCGTTACGTCATTTACAATGTTTTCAGGGGAGCTCACTGTAACCAACTTTTTAGGGCAAGGGAGGTCACTTCTTTGTTTTGTTTTATTGTTTGTTGAGGTTTTTAATCGTGTAGCGGACAGATTCCGATTAATGTCCTATGTATGTATTTCTAAGTCAATGCATTGGACATATTGTGAATGAATCCATCATCTATCAAGTTTATTTTTGAGCATCCTTCGTAAAAATGTATTGAATGATACAAACACTGTCTGCCTCCCTCGACCTATATTTACCTAATGACGACGAAAATAAAATATATGAAGACAAAAAATAAATATAAACTTCAAAATAAAATAAAATAAAAATAGGTAAAATGATAAAAAGAAATGATTTATACTCTTATCAAAATCGTTCATCAATCCGCGTTTGTAAGTGATTATTCTGCAACCTATTGTAGCCGGTGGGTGACCAATACTTACCGCTCCTTTAAGAATAGCTAAACTTGCCTCAGGTGGCCTTATGATTGTGAAGGGTTTTTGAAAGTTTTCACGCATTGTTTCATAAACTATGTCACTTTCACTAAGCCCTCCAACTAACAGAATAATTTTTACATTTTTCATATTTGGCTCAGCAAGAATATCTTTTACATGTGATATCATCTTTCGTATTGGCGAATCAAACCACTCCTTGATAACAGAAGCGTCTACTGTAAGCTTGTCTGAATAAAGTTTTAATTTATGCTCAAGTCCAAGAGCAGCAGCCTTCTCCTCGATTGGTATATCCTCGTTTTCTTTATATAATTGTAAAAGCCTATTACCAAAATAAAACGCAATGCTTTTATTGTCTGGTCGCATGAGTTTTTTCTTTATCTCGATATCACGAAGCAAATTTATATAAGTTAACATGTTCTCACTTTTAAAATTTTCCATGGTAGATTTGCCAAATAATTTTGTAAGCCATTGCAAGAAGTTGTCGTCAATTTGAGTTCCACCAAACGATCCTCCACTAGGCTTATGTATCTCTTTTACTGATCCATCAATTTGCTTTTCATGTACAGATATATCTACAAAACTTCCTAAAAAGACATAGTATATACTTACATTTACATTATATCTGGTAACTTGCCACATAAACTTCTTGAAACTTTATTTGATATAATATAACATCATTTTTTTTAAATTCTTAAATTCTCTAAATTAATAGCAGTCGTTGCTTTCATACTGTTATAAATGCATATATATGAAAAACACGACTGCCGTTGCTGCAGTTCTCTTCTAAAATGTATTTAATAACATAAAGTATTTTTTGAATTTTGTAATGGAATTCGGTTTTTAATATAAAATCAAAATCAAAAATCGTTTCTTCAATACGCTTATCAAAATCTCAAAATCACGACCCTTTCAAATTGTCTCAAGAAGAAAATCGCCCATTTCTGTAATTTAATTCAAATATGCATTTTTCAACATATACTTCTTTTTGTAACGAGCAACCATTCAAAGAACACACGTCTTGTTTGGATCCTGATATATCTTTTATCTCAAAAAAAAAAAAAAGAAATTGTATGAAGAGTGTCATCTTTAAATCGTCGAAACTAGATTATCTTAAATTGACACTGAATTAATCTTAACTTTCTAATACTTATGATGTTTTTTTTTTCGTAAAAGTCACTGAATACAGCATGTTTTCGCTAACAAGCTTTTAACGTTAACTGTATAAACAGTATTAATCTGAAATATCTATGCTTTCATACCTCCAAGATCAATCACCATATACTGTGTCCCTGCTTTAGATAACATAGTCCTTGCCTCATCTGTTGCAATTTGACACCAAATAGAAGCGGCCTCAGGCTCTAATGCTAGTATCAGATTGGAAGTCTTTATTCCAGCCTAACGTTCAATTATAAAAAAAACTTCGTTCATAGTACAAAAATTGGACAAATAAAAATTAAATAAAATGTATTGTATTGTATTGTGCTCATGAATAATATCTAGTGACTAGACATCTGTTTATAATAATGTCTTGTAATTATGTTTTATTATCAATTTTTTTCATATATTTGATGCTTATGTACATAGTAACAGAACATCAGCCGGAAGAAAAACTCATGTAATTTATATGATATCAAAATTATTACCCCTCACTTTTTTCGTAATGCTAATTTCCCATAGGCCTCTGGGTGTTATTTTTACTGTTAATGCAAGTGTACCACGTGACTAAGAATTTTGTACTGTTACATAGGTAACAGTATTTTTTAACAGTATAAAATCTGGTCACGTGGTCTATTTTCTAAATAAAATGAAATAAAATGGCCGCCATTTTTTTCTCGATTCATTCTTATTTTCGACGTTAAACCCCGTTAGGACATAAATTTCTTCTCAGGAGTAACTATGACACTCATAAAATTGAGTTGTTCGCACCCTGGTTTGTTTTCGCGTATAAACTATCATTTTGTTGAATAGTCAAACGGTTTCAACGGAAGTAATTGCAATGTAAATAATTATGTGTCAAACTGGAACATATTATTCAACAATTATAATCAGTGACACGTTACAGATATGGTGGACAGACATAGGATATCATCGTTAATTTGTCAAAACCATGCTAAGAATATTCTGGAAACAGAAGGATCAGATTTCACAGATCATAACCGTGTAAATGGGTTAGTGTTTTGTTTTCTAAATAAAACCTAGCTTATTGTATGTTTATGATTTGTAGATATCACCACTTGCTTAAAGAATAAAAGAAAAAGAAAACTTCTCAAGTAGGCCTAATGTACACTTAAAACTTAAAAGGTAAGGACAGTTTAGTTATTGTTACTCTTGGTTTATTTTTGTTACAGTTAGATTTAGTTGACAATTTCAGATCACCACAGTATTTTTATTCGGGGTAATAAAATAAATAACACATGGGTTTGTGAGTAACAGTAAAAATATCATCCCTCGTCAAAATACTGTTACCCGAGGCTACGCCCTGGGTAACAGTATTTTCCTCGGGATGATATTTTTACTGTTACCCACAAACCCATGTGTTATATATACTAGCTTCTTATCTAAAATATAAAAATGTTTCATCACCTCAACCGCTGCTTCACGCATGAATTGTTTGGCGTTTTCTTTCCATATAGCAGGCACTGTCAATATATACTTTATATCACTCTCTTTGACCCATGGCTCTTCTTTTTCCAGGCGTTTCAACAGATGGTTTCTAAGGTAGCGAATTGACATGGCAAAGATCGTCCTGGCAGGCATTGACACACCATTTATGTCTTCTATACTCGTATTTCTTGTTAAATCCTTAAAATTATGTAGAACGAAAAAATACTTGAACTAAATTTGTACAACGAAACATGACAATTTTTAATTTTGCACAGAATTGGATAACTTCAAAAAATGGTATGTGACTGTTTTAACTTCTTATCTCTAACAAAAACATTTAATGTTATATACTAGAAGATCTGCATTTTCTCGAATATTTTCTGTCTGTGTACTATTCAAAAATGAAAATGTCACATGGTGAGAAATATGTGCAGCCTGACCGGGATCCTCAGAATACAGTTCTGCGACTTTACCGTCTGAGCTACCCGGCCTCACCTAAATAGAGAACGGTTCTGAGACGTGACATATTCCCCCGCTTTATTGAAAATTGTCCTCGAATTTCTAATAGTTACAAAGAACAATATGACATTGGACTCGGGGCTCTGTTCCATCACGGTCCATCGTTAGGCCCCAATTGTAACATGGTGAAGCTGTAAAGATGAGCAGCCTGCTACAACCGAACAACGAATTTGAAAACCCAACGCTTATCTGTATTTCGAGGTTTATTTTTTTTATCTTCAGCAGTCCATGCAATAGTTAACATACAAGTTTTAGTATCATATATAATAAGAACCTATGCCAAGGGTGTAAACGATTGGTGTTTATATACATACACATTTCCATTCTTAAGGTTACGCTAAGGTATGAATAAAACCTACATAGCTACCTATTCTATTATATTATAAATTATATGTCAGCCATATTTATACCTTCTTATTGTGAAGAATAATCCTGAATCTTCTAAAAAGAAGCCAGCCGTGATGTTTTTCCTTCTCGGTCAGACCTAAATATTTATCTTCAGCCTCGAACCCAAATGAATCGAACTCTTTACTAGGATTGAGAAGCACACTAGTTGCTGTCTTGCTTGGCACACGATGTCCATAAGTCCAATCTTGACTTGCTCGAATATCTGTTGGTTTATCGCCCCGGACAGAAAATGCATAGCCACTGTATGCTGTCCCAAATTCAAACGCGGCAACTATCAAAGGCGTGTCTTCATCTAAAATAAATATTGCTTATAACCGTTTTCTTAACAGTGTTTAAATTTTGTGATTCCATTAAAAAAAACTTGTATACGATTGTGTAATATGCTATATACATGTTGTGTGCCACACCCACCCTTAAAGTAATGATAATTTCGATTGAATGAAGTTGTGTAAAACGTTTATTTTGCCTAAAATTTTGTAATTGGGTTAGTACTGAATGGGTATACAGTAGTATAAATACTACTTATTTATAATATACATGTTTATTTTTTGCTACTAAATAACAAATTATTTCACATATTTATTGGGTTTTTTTCCTGTAGCAAGCATCTAACATTCTCTAAAATTATGAACTTCATGATTGACCTTTCTAAAGAAGTGAACATTTATTTATTTTTGAGGCATAATATGCCTTTAGAGTACTGTGGTTGCTTTTGATATAGTCGTCATATGCCAGTATACATATTTTATCTGTCACTTTTTTTACAATAAATTTGTGTAAAAACGCAATTCAGATGGTCTGTAGTCGGTGTATATCTTTCTTTTAATATTTGATAGTTTGGGTATGAATAGCATTGACGTCTGGTGACTCACAATTGCATCAAATCTTAAATCTAAACATTTAAGATTAAAAAAAGAAATTTTGAAATATATGATTATAAAGGATCATACAGTATTGTAGTTTGCAAAAAAAGGAATGAAATCATTCAGATGACTTTAGTTTTAATGGTATTTTAATAGATATGGAGTAGCGATAGTTAGAACTACAAAGCTTTTAATCTTTTGTTGGAGATAGTGAAAATCAAATAGGTTGTCAATAAACAGTTATACATACCACTCGAACAATTGACATCATTATTACTGAACTCATCTCGGCCTTCGGCGACTATTAGATGTAATACGATCACCGAAGCAATAATGATTGAGCAGTCCATTTTAAATCCAAGGTAGAAAATTTGACAAAACTAAATGATTGCGCATAGAGCATTAAAAAAAAGAATAAAAAATATCACTTATAAATGTTTTCCTATAGAAATTGTTCATAAACAACGCAATTTAACAAGATCAGTCAAAATTCATCGAAAATAAATGGGGTTTTCCTACTTTCGTTTTAGAACAGAAAGTAGAAAATAGTTGTGTTCTACATTCGGTTTTAATCTTTAATGTTTAAACGAAAGTAGAAAATTCGATACTGACTTCACTTCTTTTCATATGATTGTTACATTGTTAAATACAACGGTAATGGATTATCTGAAATAAATATTGTGTCATAATTTAAAGAACCGGAAATTTCTGTATATGCGCGAGCACTTTATATTTTGGGCAGGTTTTCGTGAAAATGGAATGCTCAATCATTTTTGTTTTCGTGATATTACTTCATGTTACAATTGTTCAAGGTCGAGATGAGTTCTGTAATAAAGATGGCGACTGTCCGAGCGGTATGTATAATCGTTTTATTGACAACTATTTTGATATACATCGTTGTCAACTGAGAAATTAAAAGCTTCAAAATTTTAACAACAACGTAAAATCTATTTTAATTAGTATTGTTAAAAATTCTTTTATTCTTTTGAACTATTTATATGCTGTGTATATAATATCTGTATTATTCTGATATTTGAAGTCTAAATTTCAGATTTAATGACCATGCTTTTTAAATTTAATGTAGGTACAACATTTGCTTATTCTATTAAGCATACAATAATCTCTAGGATATTGTTGATATCAAATATTTAAACCATTTGTACAATTTAAACAAGGACGATCTGCTTCGTTGAACATAAATACATGTATATATAGCTAGTACTTTATCATGTTCGTTAAACCGTAGCATGTATCTTGTTACAATTAAAATCGACAGCAAGTATTAAAATAAATAAAATATTTACAGTGTATACAGGCTTTAAATAACGTGTTATATCTCGTAAAAAGAGCATAATTCTTATTTAAACCATAATGACTTATTCATTGTATACCATATGCCGTACTGACCAACGTATAAAAATTCATATACCTGTATACTTTCATTACTGTCTGTTAAACCTTAAAGTGTATCGATTAGTTCTATTTAAATATAATCTTTAACAGTTGTTTGATTTTATTGTTTTGATAAAAGATCAGAAAATCAGACCGTGTATCAGATTAATTATTGACCTTTAAACCAAGTTAATCATATGCATTTGCAAAAATCTAACAGACGTTGAAGAATGACAAATAAATTTTTAAACTCTCACATAGATCAGCCGGTGAGCTTGAAACAAAAAAAGCAAAATGATAATGAAGAGGTATATTTAGAATTAAAAATAATTTTTGTGAAATGTTTAAATCTTAATTCGAATTAAAATGGTTTGAATTATCATTGCGCTACATATATTCCTACAAATATTCTGTTCCTTACCAATACCTTAAATGTATCTATAATCAATCGTCCAACTTATATTTTCTCTACTTTGCACATGCCTTTTCTAAACTAATCGCTGACTTGTCCAATTAATAGTCAATATTTTGAAAAGCATATATGAGTTATTATATGTCTTTTGTGTACCTTTACATAATACGGCTATAAAATAAAATATTTTATTTAAGATGTAGAAACTTCCTTGCTTGTGGCTGCGTTTGATTTTGGGACAACATACAGTGGCTATGCATTTTCTTTCCGGGGCGATAAACCAACGGATATTCGAGCAAGTCAAGATTGGACTTATGGATATCCTGTGCCAAGCAAGACAGCAACTAGTGTGCTTCTCACTCCTAGTAAAGAGTTCGATTCATTTGGATTCGAGGCTGAAGATAAATATCTAGGTCTGACCGAGGAAGAGAAACATAAGGGCTGGCTTCTTTTTAGAAGATTCAAGATGATTCTTCACAATAAGAAGGTAAATATGGCTGACATATAATTTATATTATTTCACATTTTATTAAATACATGTATAACCAATGCACTTTCAGCTTTTGCATCACGTGATGTTCCAATAGAAATAATTATTCGATCAAGTCTTATCAATTTAGCCTCGTTTTCATGCAGTGTTTAAACAGTCCATATCAAATCCATATCACACCACAAACAACTCGTTTTGAGAAATTTCATTTTCATGGTCCAAAATGTTCAAATAAAATCCATACCATAGTTTTCAGTTTTGAGAGTCCAAAATCCATATCAAATCCTTTTTGTAATTGAAGTAACTAAATTCTGTCAAAACGTCTATTGGACTCGAACACAGCTGCAAAACTATACCGTCGTCCAATATAAGTCTGACAGTTGTATATTTATCTAATTGAATCAGTATTGTACTCAACAATGTATAAGAATCTCATAATATCACACTAAATGTGCCCAAGGAAAGATATTAGCATTACCTTAAGAACTGAAATGTGACGTACGCATGTAAACACCACTTGCATACATTCTTCGTTTGGTTATAAAATTATATAGATGTATTTATACTAGAACATATGTTTCTTGAACATCAAATATCTTCTTAAAGGCCCAATATACGACAGAAATGCTTTATCTTAATTTCTCAAAAGCTTTTTAGTTTTGGAGTCCAGTTATAGTTTCCAAAAGGTAAGTCATTCGCAAATTACCTGAAGTATCTTTACCTTCTGTTGCTCTGTTGCTTTTTGGCAAATAGTAAGTTGATAGAGTTTAGTAGTTTGTGTGGAAGTTATCCAGGTGATAAGCATGCTTACATGGTCTAAAATTGCTGCAGTTCTTTCCTTAAAATTAGGTTTGCTTTTTTGCCTGTTTGTTTGCTTATTTTTGTTGTTGTTTATTTTTTTATTTTTTTCTTTCTTTTATGAAATACATGTATTATACTGAAATAATATAGTGTAAATAAAACAACCTCAGAGCTCTAAGTTTTTGGTAGTACATGCTATGTTGGGATACAGTATAATGTTGCATGGTTATCAAATTCTGTGCAAAATAAACAAGTGTCATGTCTTGTTATACAAACTTTTAAAGGACTTATCACGAAAGACGACTGTAAAAGACATAAATGGTGTGTCAATGCCTGCCATGACGATCTTTGCCATGTCAATTCGCTTCCTTAGAAACCATCTGTTGAAACGCCTAGAAAAAGAAGAGCCATGGGTCAAAGAGAGTGATATCAAGTATATATTGACAGTGCCTGCTATATGGAAAGAAAACGCCAAACAATTCATGCGTGAAGCAGCGGTTGAGGTAATTGATTTGCAATTTTAAAATAAAGTTCTAAAGAAATTGCACGGCCTATTGGTTTTCTCTCGTCAAACGTGTCGTAACCGATAAAACAACTGTATCAAACGTGAAAAAATATTAATGATTACAAAACATAGTTATTTTAAATAATATTTCTTGTCATTTATTCTTTTCACTTACATTTTCTTGTACTTATAATATTAATTTCCTGTTATACTTGAACGTTAGGCTGGCATAAAAAGTTCCAATCTGAAACTAGCGTTAGAGCCTGAGGCCGCTTCTATTTGGTGTCAAATTGCAACAGATGAGGCAAGGACTATGTTATCTAAAGCAGGGACACAGTATATGGTGATTGACCTTGGAGGTATGACACATTGGGACAAATTTTACATTTTTTGGAAATATTTTAAAATTCAGATTTATATGTTTAACATTAAAAATGGATATATCAGGTTCTATACAATTTACATTTAATAGTGGCGTTTTGTCGCTATGATGTGGAAATGTTATGTGTAGTTGATACAATGGCATCATAAGATATAAAATACGTAATTTACATGAATCAGATACTCCTGCCGCTTTTCCGACTCCGTAAAAACGTTTTTGTACGGATATACGAGCACTTTCACGTGGCGTCATATACGTAATATAAACGTAGCGTTAACGCATGTTTTTATTTGGCGTATGTAATAAATAGAATATTATATTCGTATGGTTCGTTACTGTAATTAATGTGTTAGAGGCTTGCACAATATTATTACATTCTGCTTTTCAATAAACTCAGTATTTCCTGATATCCGCTGTATGATCACATATGCAGATATTTTTATATTGAAAATTAACCATTTTCATGTTGGCCACCAGCAAACCCGGTTTATAGTGTTGTGAATGTCGGGCGGCCGGTGGGTGGCTGGCGGGGGGTCGTAACAGTTTCCTCAGCAACTACTTATCACAGCCTCTTGATGTTTGACATACAGCATTGACATGTGGTCCCATACCATGGGATTCGAGTTCAGGTCTGTTGCTCATCCACTTCCTGTTTACCCACTTAGTTAAATTTTCGACTTTAATGGTCAGTGGTATATATTTTTCGTAACATCACAGCATTATGATATTTGATATACACGCAACCCGGCTTTTTCTGTCTTTCATTTTTAAAATGTTGACTACTGCTTAAGTCAGTGCAAGGGGTCATGGGCGGTAGCTTGCAATTTCAACTACCGTCCATGAACAGGTTCAATCAAACCGTTCTGGACTTCTTTAGGGATTCCGTTTTTCTTTATTTTAGGTGGCACTGGAGATATATCTGTACATGAAAAGCAAATTGATGGTTCATTAAAAGAGATACACAAGCCTAGTGGAGGATCGTTTGGTGGAACTCAAGTTGACGATAACTTCTTGCAATGGCTTACTAACTTATTTGGCAAGTCTACCATGGAAAAATTTAAAGAAGAGGAAATGGAGGCCTACTTTAATTTACTTCGAGATTTCGAGTCAAAGAAAAGACTCATGCGACCAGACGTCAGTCGTAAAATAACGTTTAATGTAGGCCTATATAGACTTTTAGAATTTTATAAACGGAACGAGGACATGTCAATCGAGGAAAAGATTGCTACTCTCGGACTTGAACATAAACTGAAACTTTATCCTGACAAGCTTAGAGTAGACGCTTCTATAATTAAAGAATGGTTTGATCCACCAGTACGAAAGATAATATCACATGTAAAAGACATTCTTGCTGAGTCAAATATGAAAAATGTTAAAACTATTCTATTAGTCGGAGGGTTCGGTGAAAGTGACATAGTTTATGAGGCAATGCGAGCAACCTTTGGAAACACACATGCAATCATAAGGCCTCATGAAGCAAGTTTATCTGTCCTAAAAGGAGCCGTGCGATTTGGTCATATCCCGGATATAATTAGGTACAGAATCATGCCCGCTACATACGGTATAGAAGTTGTGAGTGTGTTTAATAAGGATATACATCCTGCTTCGAAAAAGATAATAAGAAATAACAGAGAAATGGTTGACAATATATTTCACATTTTTGTTCGCAAAGACGATAATATCGAATTAGGCAAAGAAATACTCGAAGATGACTTTACTCCAACTGATCTTCAGCAAACATATATACCTATATATAAATCAACGAAACGTGATCCGGAATATGTTACAGATGATGGGTGTACAAAACTTGGTGCACTGACTATAGAACATCCAGAGGGAAAAACGTTCGAAGACAAGAAATTTGATACAACATTTGTGTTCGGTGACACGGAGTTATTTGTTAAGGTGAAGATTAAAAAAACAGGACAGGAATTTGATAAATATATTAATTGTTTAGAACAGTAACATATTTAACGAATGTAAACGTATGGTTTTATGATGAACTATTACAATATTTTTCTTGTTATGACATAGTTACATTTCCCACTGTAATATATGATTTACGGAATCGATTTTACTGTTTTCATTGATAAAACAGATATATTTGCCGTGTATATAGGCACATCATGCTTCAGAAATAAAATGTGTTTTGTTTTCTTCCTTCTTTAGAAAAGGAAAACATCAGTTTTATAACGTATAAATGTTGATTTTAGAGTATGTTAGATGCTTTTCACTTGAAGAATGAAGTGCTGATTGTTACGAAAGACCGGAAGGGCCGTTTCAACTTCATGAATTCCCGATTTCAGCTTCATGAATTCACAATCTGAACTTCGTGAATTCCCGTCAAGTTGAAATCGTGAATCCATGTAGTTGAAATTGTGAATTCGTGAAGTTGAAATCGTGAATTCGTGAAGTTAAAATCGTGAATTCGTGAAGCTGAAATCGGGAATTCAGTTGAAATGTCACCACCGGTCTTTTATAGAATGTAGAACTATTTGTCTAAAAACTAGTAAATTGTAAACAAGTACATACAATCGTCAGTAGCAAGCTGTTGTTTCCGTGAGCAAGAAAGTTTACACAAATTGCTTAGCACTGGTTGGTTCGAGAGTGTTCCAATAAGCATATAGCTTTTAGCAAAATAAATTAGTGTAAACTAAACATCGACTATAAGAAATTGTACATATATTCGACGACTATTCTTGTCATACACAAGTGAGTGACATTACTAGCAGTTAATGTCATGTTGTGTTAATTAGTTTTATTTTGATTCTTAAAAAACAAGTTAACAAATATTTTGTTATATTTGTAGTTAATATCTTTACGTAAGGAGCATGTGCATTTTGATATTTATTTTCATATTTATTTTCATTTACCATTCATGGTTATATAGGCAGTGAACAGGTAAAATTAAAATTAGTTCACATTTTGCCATAATTCCGAGGCCAAAGGAAATTTCTGTAAACATTAAGTGGACTTTACCTGTCACTTTCAATTTATGACAAGAGTGGGGTCGTTTTTTTATATTTTAGACAGATTTATATTTTATCTAACAAGAGTTGGTCAATCACCATTACTATAGTCATTTTTTTTAAATATGTAGTCACTTTAGCACAACATGACAATGAAAAAAATGAGCATAATATGATGATGTCACTTTAAAGTTACGTTTCGTAAATGTATAAGAATATATTCAGATTCAATAATTTTACTGACTTCAAATTTTGTAAAAACAATATATCCTGGTGATTTTCGATTTTCGATTTGAATTGCATTTTTATATATCATTACTTTTTTTTATATTTTACAATACTGTTTGTTATTTATAAATAATAAAATCCTTGTATTTAGACCGCCAACGTGTCTGCGTCTGTGTTGCTTTCAATCAATTATTTAAACCAAAATGGTGATTGTGAATGGGTGTATTAATTTTATTGTCAGGAGGAAAATATAAATTGGGACTGAAACCAAAGAAATAAAGAAATGGAAATTCGGTTCTTTTAAAACCCGATCTAGATTGTGGTATGGTCTAAGGATGTATATATCACACCATGAGATTTATAAATTGCACTTTACTTTTTTTTTATTTTGGGCGTATTTCAACATGAGCTTTATGATCTGAAATCGTTATTGCCTTTCAAGTTATATTTAAAAATGAGATTTATATTATTAAACTGAATTGTTTTTGTCATTCAGTGCATATTTATACATGAGATTTATCAACTGCCTTGTTTTCGGGACCAGTTTCATAAACTAATTTTTTTTGTTATTTAGGACGTGTTTGATAATGATATCTGGTATTTGTTTGTTTGTTTGTTTTTGTCATTTAGGACGTATGTAAACATAAGACTTATAAACGGAATTGTTTTGTCATTCAGGACGTATTTCAACATGAATTTTATCAACTGAATTTTTTGTTATAAACTAAATAGTTTTTGTCATGGAGGACGTATCATAACAATACATTAATAAACTGTTAATTTATACAGTTGTTTTGTTATCTTTGATTTTTGTTTTTATTATTATTTTATTATTATTTTTATTATTATTATTATTATTATTATTATTCGCAAAACACATTGAAGAAGCCATCGATTCCTTTATGCATCAATTGTATCCCCGCCTCACGCCAAGGAATAGTTGGTATTTGGAATTCAAGGATTATTAAACCCCCGGTAAAGATCATGACTTTTGGTGACAATCGGATAATGTGGTTATCCATAGTATGATATATTCTAATATATGAGCAAACAACGATTCCATGGTTAGAAACACACAGAAAATTTGTAATTGAGTCTGTGATTCAAAGGCAACCCAGTATGTGTTATAGGGAGACGATACAAATCAACTGAATCAAAGGCCAACAGTAATACTCATGTTTGTGACCCAAACATATGCGTTCATATAAAGGGAGTTCAATAAACAAATACCGATCTATCAATATCGAGCAAGTGACCCAAACGGAGCTTTTATTTGTCCATATGGTAGCAGTTCGATATATATTGATTAAGATCAATTTGCAATTAGTTAAATTAATACAAAATTATTTCAGTTCGATTGTGTTGAAAGCTAAAACCTCATTGAAACACTCTCAAATCCGTTCCTGAAACCAACCAGTACAATAAATGTAAAGTGTCTTACTCAAAGAAAAAATAAACGGCTTGCCCCTGTCAGGATTTAAAACCACGTCCGTCGCGTTTACCAAACGGCCATTCGCCACTCAGTTGGGGTCTGTGACCAAATAGAGGCCAAACAATGTTTCTATATTAAGGCGCTCGATCTATGTCAAATCAACAGATGTTGTAATTGAATACACCCGTAAACTGTTAATATATTTTTTTCCCGCTCTTCAATGCTGCAACACTTTTTTCGACCTTATCGGATTCTAATGGTCATAGCTCATTTTTGAAATTGTGTCTTATTTGTCAATATGGCCCATGGTAACAAAATTATTGTATTTAAGACGTGTTGCGAAATATCTAATATTTCACACGAAACCAAAATCAATGTGTATTATATTTATTAACAAGAAGCAGTTACTAATCTTGGTTTAACGTTTCAACGTATTCTGTGTCTTAAGTTATTCTAAACCTGATTCTTGACTTTTTTTCTACAAAATCCTTTTATTTCATTTGTCTTAAAAATATTGCCTAAAATACTTGGTTTTCTTTGTCATTATATTGGTATGAAAAGTCAAACATGTAGATTCGCTTGAATCTATCAACTTTATGTCAAGAAGTACCCACATATGCAATGTGCTTAATTTAAAAGGAGATTTAATCAAATACACGCGTAATTTTTCATGCTTACGTAAGTAAATTGTTTTCAGCCATTTTTACTAAGCCAGTTTCCATTGCTCTCCAGGAAATGTATAATCTTTTCTAGAATTTGTTTTACTTTTGTCTTAAAATGGTTGTGATTGCATCAAAAGGACAATTTGAAGTATTCAAGGAAATATTGTTGGGTTCACTTTGAATATAGTATATGTTAGGATTGCTGTTTCTGACATAAGATACGATAATAACAAAACCTACTCATTTAAGGGATCAATCCCTGTTGGCTCAATTGTGTAATTGAAGCATTTTTACCTACCAAATACAGTGATAGATCCTTACTCTGGTCTTTTTAATAACAATAGTTTTAACCACAAACACTGACAAGTGCTATTTTGTTAAAAAATTGTTGTGTTGAAATTTTTATTGTATTCACTAACTAATCTGATAAGTATAATCAGACAGATCAGTGATCTATGCTTAGTTTCAATGTATATATGACAGAGTTTTACTTTGTTGCATTTGTCTAGATTATCTTGTCAAAGTTTAGAGGGTTTCTCACATGCAAAGTATTCTTAACGAAAACATTCCTATTTCCTTGATAATTTGTTAACGTATATTTAAGGCACATTAAGCTACTAAAATGCTCTTATACTTATTCCTTAAAAACTATTTGTTAAAGATGACTAAAAATTACTTATAGTCTATAAAAATGGACTATTTTTGCTTTTTTTGCTTTTTGACAACTTGAATAATTATAGTGATTAAGTATTTGGTATGGAAGTCAAAATACAACTTTGATTACAATTTCCTATTTTCAAGACACATTACCGCGCGTTTAGCAATTTTCTAATTAACATCTAACATGCTCTTAATCAATTGTTTAAGCATCATTAAACACATGTTTGACCTTCTAAAGAATTTTTTAAAGTAAAAAAAAAAATTGGTTTTGAGTTCTGGAGCATTGTGTGAATTTTAGAGTTCATCTCAATAATGTCATTTTTGTCAAGCGACGTTCATATTACTATAAGTTTACAATATGTTTATATAAAAGCAATTTTCCTACTTTACTATTTGCATAAACGGGCTTCTAGTAATCTTTATATGTCAACGGATATCTTTTCTGCGTTTGTCGTTTTGTATTTGACACATCCATATGGAATTTATATTTATTCAAAACTTGAAATTATTTCTAAAGGTGGCTTGAAAGAAATACTCAATACTGTATCTGATATTTTGAACCATATTTTTACCAAACAGTGGTGAATTGGGTGGGGTGAATTTACGCAGCTACTTTTTGTCGTTTCAAATTTTCAAGCATATTATGGCTCTTAATTTATTAACCTGTTCCTTCTGTAGAAAGCGAGTTTTATAATTGTAATAAAGATTGAGAACATGTGAAATAATTTTCACCTGTAGAAAGTAGCGCTTCATATGAAATAATTTGTGATAAAGGTATGAAAATGTAAACAAAGTTATATTTTGACTAGCATTTTGATATTTATACAAAATGCTTTGAACCACGATAGCAGCAATAGAAAGCTTAGATATATGGTCAATAAGTGATTTTTCGGAAATTCTAACAGGACATAAAAATATGAAGCTTTTGAAATGCTTTATGAGCCTTGAAAATCTGCAAATTTGCTGGTAATTTTTATAAAGCGTATACAATATATGCTTGATCAGCATTGGAAATAAGTGTGAAACAATCTATTTAGATATGCCATTTATAAGCATTGCCCTTGCTGTTATATTTCAAACAGCCGTTTATAAAGGACCATTTAACCTGTCAAAAATCTTAATAACTTTTTTTTTTATTCACAAATATTATACATAATTATACATAATTTTACATATATACATTGACATTATTTAACAAATTCAATTTGAGATATTCATATGTATTAGAGTTACAACGTACATAAACACACAAATTGAAAAAAGCTTGAAACTATCTAGAGGTTAGTATATATCTTTATATCTTTTAAAAGTTGTAGTATTTTGTCAAAAAATTAAACTTTTGTCTTCTTGTATTTAAAGTATTGATAAATTATTTCGAATTCTGTTTTAAACAGTTTTAAAATGTTAAATTCATGTGACCAATTATTACTACAAAAGTAAGCTTTATAAATACTAAAACCTACAATGGTGAGTATAACAGTTATGTAAAAGTATTCTTCTTGAGATATTTTATAACCGAAAATAAGGATGTCTAGTCTACGTATATTTATTTGAATTCCGCACTCTTGAAATATATTTAAAATTTTCTCCCAAAATACATTTACTGTCATACGATCGATAAAAAGATGTTGATAATCTTCTATTGTATTACATTTATTACAGAGTGGAGATGAGACCATTTTCCATTTATAGCGCGTTTCTTTGCTTGTAAAGATCATGTTTATTACTCTTAATTTGAATTGTTTATACCGATTATCAGGAATTCTTGTAATGAATTTATATATATATATATATCATTCCAGTTTAGTTTTCTCTCATATTTATTTGACCAATACGAATGTGTAGCGGGTTTAATGAATACTGTGTTTACTAATATTTGATATATTGTTTTTGAATCCATCAATTCAAAATGTCTGTTATTTATCTTAAGACGTTTTTTTGTTTTTTTTTGTTTGCGAAGAGTGAAACGTTTTCATAGTTTGTTTCAAGGTTAGAGGTATAGCTTTAAAGAGCAAGTTTAATTCAACGACGCAGTTGCGTTTATCTACTAGCTTATTTAAGATAACATTTTGATCTACTTCACCCTGATCATTAAGTAAATCATTTAAAAATATATATTCGATTTAATCCATGTTTTAAAAAACAAACATTGGTTTTTAATTTTAATGAATCTATTGCCCCAGATTATTTGTTTTCTTATTTGTTCAAATGTCAAATTTTGATTTTCCTTATGTAAATCGCGAGTTTTTATCCATATTTAAATAAGTTCTTGATAAAATTCAGTCACATTACTACAATTGAGACTTTTAATAGTGGCTGTATTACAATAAAATATAAAAAAAAAATTGTCACCAAAATCTTTCAGTAGGCGTTTCGGAATCAATTTCCAGTTTGCTTCTGATTCATCAGTTAAAGCTTTTACCCATTTAATTTTTAAAGAAGTTATACATGAGTCTAAGTCTAGCATATCTATTCCTCCTTGTAATTTATTGCCTATTCAAGTTGCACGTTTTACTTTTTCTTGTTTATTGTCCCATAAAAATTTGAATATCATTGTATTGATTTCTTTCACGATACTTTGTGGCACAACTAAAGAATGAAACAAATAAGTAAATTTTGGTATCAATAACGATTTTATAATTTGAACTTTTCCATACATCGTTAACTTACGTTTTAACCAGTTTTTTTTATCAGACTTTGACATTCAGTTAGTTTTGACTGTCAATTGAGTTTAGAATTCTTCGTATTGTATGCCAAAATAGACTCCTAGTGCTTTAATTGGTTTATTCGGCCATGTTATATTTCCTACTTGATCAGTTCGTGATTTACACATTGCTTCAGTTTTTTTTGCTATTGAGTTGTATCCCCGAGTATTTGCCTAAGCGCTCTACCAGATTTATTGCATTCAGAATGTCTTGTTCAGATTTCAGAAAAAGAGAAGTGTTATCAGCAAGCTGTGCTATTTTAATTTGTTTATTTTTATTTTCGATTTTTATCCCTTCTATACTGTTTGAGTTTCTTATTTCAATGGCCATAATTTCAGCAGCTAATATAAATAAAAGAGCAGATAATGGACATCCCTGTTTAATACCTCGATTTAAGTTATATATCTGATTTATGTCCATTGTTAGAAATACATGATTTAATATCATTATAAAATGTTTTGACCCAGTTTATAAAGTTCGATTTAAAACCAAATTGTTTAAGTACATTAATTAAAAAATTCCATTCTAGAGTATCAAAGGCCTTACGAAAATCTAGAAACATTATCGAACCATCTATTTGAAGTTTTTCTGAATAATCTATTATGTCTTGTATTAAACGTATGTTATATCCGATAAATCTGTTTTTAATATAACCTTGTAGGTCTAAGCTTACTATTTTATGAATAACAGTTTGCAATCTATTGGCAAGAGCACGAGTTGCAATTTTTACATCAACATATAATAATGAGATTGGTCGATAGTTTTCTAATAATAATGGGTCCCCTTTTTTATAAACTAAAGATAGACAACTATTTTTTTGTGAATGAGATAATAGTTTTTTATCAAAACATTCGTTTAGACACTCTGTGAGATGTAAACCTACACAATAGAAAAACTCTTGATAGAATTCTACAGGAATGCCATCAATTTCTGGTGATTTATTTGGCTAAAGTCCATTAACAGCAGTTTTTATTTCGTTCAAATTTAAATAGCCCTCGCACTTACTCGCTTCATCATCGGATAATTTGTTTTCTTACTGAATAGTGTTAAGGTATGTTTTTATATGATCCGTTGGAATTTTACTAGAAGTATAAAGTGTTCTGTAATAATATACTGTTTCTTTTAAAATTTTCGTTTCATCTGAAAGTACATTTCCATTTATTTTAAATGAGTTAATCGTTTTCCGCGTTTGTCTCGACTTTTCCAGATTCAAAAAAGTTTCGTGTTTTTTTCTCCATTTTCAATAAGATTTATTCGAGATCTTATTTGTGCGCCTTTCGCCTTTGTTTCATATAGTTCTTGGATTTCTTTTTCTAATTTTTCAATTTGCTCGGATTCTAATATACTGTTGTTTTGTAATATTTTAAGTTTAGTTTCAAGTTCTATAATATATTCTTAAAATCTTAATAACTAATATTATAAACATCTTAAGAAGCTACATTTTGCTAACTACGTCGCTCTTTTGTACACGTTCTGTATCCAGGCTCTGGTAATAACAATAGACTCGAAAAACTGTATGTTTAAAGTATTAATAAGTCATATAATGTTATTGTTAACAAACAGAAGAACAATAAAGAATTTAATAGTTCAAAATATTCAAAACACTACCTTTGAAGAAAAAGAAACTTATCTAATAGTGATAAGTAAGAAGTCTTTATATCTTCTTTGAGGCATTTTACTATGATGCAGGGACTTTTTGCACAAAAAAACCCTTAAAGCAGGTGTATCTTGGTAATGTTCTCTTCGAACAATGTAAATCAAAAACTGGATGGAAATCAGCGTGAATAGAAGACAAAAGTAGAGATACTTACGATATTTTCTACTGTTCCCAACACTTCGAGCCAAAAAAAAAATGAAATCTGCAACGCGTTTGGACGTAAATATTTTTCGTTATTTTTTGTTACATTCATGTGTATTTTACTATAGAGAATCAGCGGAGAGACAACCTTTTTTACGAGATTATTTTTTAATTTCTATTCATACACTTAAACGTCTGAAACACATATATAATAATAAGTAACTGATGTAAGTAAATTGACCGGACAGTTTAAAACATTTTTATTCTAACTTTGGGCTTTAAATCGCAAAACCACTCGAACGAAAGTATGAAAATATATTCCAAATGAAAAGTGCATTGCAATACTTTTCTACTTTTGATTCTTTCAGCAGGCATATGCATTTAGTTGTGGTGTTTTTGTTGTTTTATTTCCTTGATGTTGTTGTCATTGTTTTGTTTTTAAATGTGTCTTTTATTTATTATTGCGACGGACGTTCCCTGATCAGGCGCATTCAGAGTATGTCATCTACACATGGGATTTCGCCAGCTACACTCGAGCAAGTGTAGTATCTGAATTTGATCCTATGAAACTCCCTTATTTTGTCGGGATATCTTGAAATCTTCCATATTTATTCTTTTCAATTTCGAATTAAGTTATCAATCAAAGTTAAAATATAAAAGTATTTGACTGATAAAAACGATTTAGCTCCGTAGAATTATTACGCAATATGCAAATATCTGCTGAAACGATTTACCGCTGTCGAAAAAGTAGGACAGCAAATTATATTTTTATTAAGGAGTAAGCTCAATAATTCATAGTTACTATAAGTAGGAAATAAATATTTCTCCATTAAACAAAACATTTTTTATTAACAGATCAAAAGTTTTTCGTGACTTAGAAATTCTAGAATATCTCGCGCATTAATTACATAATTTTCTAGGTCACGATATGAGTTAACCTGCTATCAGCTAATATGATTTGTGATAGATTATGATAGATAACACTATTCTAAAACTAGACTTTACCAAATCACCACTACATCACCTGTGCTGACTTTCGGACAAGCGATTAGGTAGTACACATTATACATGTAATAAATCAGCGGATACTTACTCTGTTTACATGCAATACTTCAAGAAGTTTTATACAATTGTAAGAAGCAAACAAGTTGAAAATGGAATTTAGTGTGAAATTGAAAGGGTCAACTAATCACTGTAGTGATTAAGTGACATTTAAATTAAAATTAAAATGATGTGCTCTGGCCTCTACATCTTTACCTTGTAAATGAATAAAAATCTAAAAGTACACAATTAATTGCTGATGGTTTTAACCAAAAATATTTTTTAATGAGACATATCCAAGAGAAATAAAAATCAAAATACTAATGACTTATATTTTATTGACTATATGCCAAATATGATATAACACGAAGCAATTCTAATTAAGATTCTCGCATGCATGTATTATGTATTATATTTGAAGTTTTTTTGCATGGTTTTATTTTTAAAATATTTCGTTGACAGTTTTTTCTTTTTACCAATAAATCGATAAGGACACTGATTTACGAGTTTGACCAGAGTTTTGAGGCATAAATTTCATTCTATATTTAAAAAAAATGGACGTGTTCTGCTTGAAAGTAGAAAATCTGAATAATTTCAGATTGGGACACCTAAAATCGATTGCTCTACAAATCTCGAACTTGAATGGAGCAAACTGTCTCTGTTATTTCTTTTGTGTGTGTGTGTGTGTGTGTGTGTGTTGGTGTGTTGGTGTGTGTGTGTGTGTGTTTTCTGAAAAAGCCATGTATTCAGCACTTTGATTATTATTGTTATTTTTATAGAGGATATTTGTTTGTTTTGCATGTAAGATTGAAATATAATTTCACTGAGTGAACACCAGATGCAATATTTTCACGAGTGGCGTAGCCACGAGTGAAAATATAATAGCTGGTGTTCACGAATGAAATATATTTCAATCTTATATGTAAAACAAATAAATTTTCTTTTTATTTCATGCTTTTTTTAGTGATTTTAAGTACTTTTTACTGATTTTGCCGCGTAACGTCGCGCATTCTCCTTTGTGACGTCATCACATCATGACGTCACATCATCAGTTTTGAAATTTAGTTCTGTTAAATTTCTCTAATTTTGTTACATTTTTAACATGATGTATGGTGACATCGACTTTCTTTTCCTAAAGAAGCAAAATTTACGTATGACGGCATTTATTTCTGCCTGTTATTCCATTTAGTTATGATTTTCTTTTCATCCGCATTCACATATAGTTCGGCTACAGTGAAAATTATATTTTATAAATTTCACTAGTGGTTTATCAGAATATAATCATTTGATATATTATAATAAAACACTGGAAAGCATGAAATAAATTACTATAATTATTATTATTATTATTATTATTATTATTATTATTATTATTATTATTTGTTACTTTATCATTTTTAAACAAAAAAAAGAAAAACCGATGTGATTCATAAAATTCTACTTACTTTCGGTTTTAATGCTTCTTAAAAATATCAGTATCAAAGTCCATTCATTTTATGTGATTGTTAAATTGTTAAATCAACGGTAAAGACTATCTAATGGATATAATATTTTAACATTTGATTTAGAATACATTTTCACACGTATTTTGCAGAAATTTTGTTTTTAATTTTAAGTTGGAAATTTCTGTGTATGCGGGAGCAATTGTTATTTTCGTTTCCAAAGAAGAGTTGTGAGAGAGGCAGATTTTCTTGAAATTTGACTGAAAATGGAATGGTCAATCATTTTTGTTTTCGTGATATTACTTCATGTTACAATTGTTCAAGGTGAAGATGAGTTTTGTAATAAAGATGGCAATTGTCCGAGCAGTAGCGGTATGTATAATCATTTTTTTTGACAACTGAGAAATTAAAAGCTTCAAAATTCTAACAACTACGTCAAATCTATATTAAATACTGGTGTTAAATACGTTTATTCTTTTTGAACTGTTTACATACTGTGTATATAATATTTCTATTATTCAAAACTGCATTTTTGATATTTAAAATTCAATAAAATCGTACAGAAACATGATTATATAACTTAAAGTAGCCACAAAAATTACTAGTTTTATTTATTTAATAATCTCTTTAGGATTGATGATATAAAATTAAAAACCATTTTAGATTAGGTTGATCATTATACATTATATATTTAGCTTGCACTAGCTTACGTTCATTATCTAGGTCGTAGCATGTATCTTGTTATCAGTAAAATTGACACAGCACGCATTTGAGTAAATAAAATATGTGTATATGTAGCGTATGATATATCTCGAATAAATTGTGCAATTTTTTTAAGATCAATCACTCATTCAGTGTATACCCATATGCCGTACTGACCAACATATGAAGATTGATATAGATTGCAATCTGAATTTATTTGTTTCAAGATAAGCTCATAAGAAAATCATATTGTTTTGTGGACCTTTTAAGCAAGTTAATTATATATATTTGTATCTATCTGGCTGAAGTTAAAGAAGCTCCACTGAGGTCTCAATCAATAAAACATAACTTTATTTTTTTCTCACAAAGATCAGCCGGGGAACTTGAAATGAAAAAGAAAAAGTAAAATATAACAAAGAGTTATATAGTCAGAATTTGGAGCTTGTTTAGCTTGACTGAAAATAAAAGCGTTTCAAAGCTTTTAATTGTTTCATTTTGCACAATGGAATTATTATAAATATGGGAAAATGATTTAAAAATATTGCTAACAAGTTATTACTCCATCATCAAATGGTACAAAGAAATATTTCCAGTTCCTTCTTTTTTTTAAACAAGAGCACCGCTAGGCGGAGCATTATATGCCCGAAAGTGTTTTTAGTATGGATGAAGCATTTATATGGCATGGGAATTAAATAAAGTTTTACCTCCTTCAAAGAGCAATCCTCCTTTATAGCTGAAAAAACCTTTATATATATACAGTGTCTGTGTCCAAAACACCACCATCAAGTTAATTGTTTTCTTGTAAGTAAAATGCTACAACGGATGGACGGAAAGACGCCAGGGGTTAAACATAATATAAGCAAATGTTTTAGGGCAAATAATTAATGTACTCAATAAAAGTGATCATCCTATGAAGTTTGACAGTTGTAAAACTGTTAACAATATTAAGGTCATTTGATGTTGACCTTTGACCTTGTGACCCCAATATAGATATGGATGTTTTACTCAATATTGACAATCATCCTATGAAGTTTGAACACTGTGGGCCAAATGGAACTTAAGTTATGCTCCAGAAACCACAATTTTCAGTGTAAAGATCATTGTAACCCTGACCTTTGACCTTTATGACCCTAAAACCAATAGGGGTCATATATTGGACATGACTGTTCATCCTATAAATTTTTAGCTGTCGGTTGATTAATACTTTACTTATTGAGCAGGAACCGTTTTCAGTTTTAAGGTAATAGTGACCTTGCCTTTCGACCTTGCAACTCCAAAATCAATAGGGGTCTTCTACCAAATATGGACAATCATCCTATAAAGTTTAAATATTGTGGGCCAAATGGAACTAGAAACCAAATTGCTAACGGACGAACGGACAGACGGGCGGACGCCAAGGGGTATAACATAATATGCCCGAAATTCTTTCGGGCATATAAAAAAACTGTGGACACCCTTTATGATTTAATTATTTTTAGATTTTGACATTTTGTCTAAAGGTAAAAAAAATGATATAATCTATAAAATTAATTAATTTTTGTGCTACATTTATTCAGAATCTTTTCAATATCTTCAATATATCTGAAATCCATCTTTGAACTTATCTTCGCTTTATTTTTAACATGCCTTTTCTAAAATAATCGCAGACTAGTTAAATTAAACAGTCAACACATTCAAAATCATATATAAGTCTGTAAACTTTTAAATACGGCTATAAAAATGTTTTTTTTAAGATGTAGGTCTACACTTCCTTGCTTGTGGCCGCGTTTGATTTTGGAACAACATACAGTGGCTATGCATTTTCTTTCCGGAGCGATAAACCAACGGACATACGAGCAAGTCAAGACTGGAGTGGATATCCTGTGCCAAGCAAGACAGCAACTAGTGTACTTCTCAATCCTAGTAAAGAGTTCGATTCATTTGGGTTCGAGGCTGAAAATAAATATTTAGGTCTAACCGAGGATGACGACCATCAGGGCTGGCTTCTTTTTAGAAGATTCAAGATGATTCTTCACAATGAGAAGGTAAATATGATCGACAAATTATTTATATATTAATTCACATTAATTTTTAAGCAATGCACTTTCAGCTTTTTGCATCACTTGATGGTCAAATAATTATTAGACCCAATCTTATCCATTTTGCCATGTTTTCATTTTCAATCCAAAAACTAATATTTAATCTATATTGTTACTCATCTAGCCTAGTTTTCATTTTTGAAAGTCAAAAATCCATTATATCAAATCCTTTCTGTAATTTAAGTAACAAAATTCTTTCAAAATTTCATAAAATGGTAGTGTGAAATAAAGAGGTCGTTAAACAGATCTGAGAACAATACTTCTTTCCTTCACTCTTCACAATTAACTTGACAAATGGACAAACATGTATTGTTAGATCACATAGCTCATCATAATTCGACAACAAAATATAATCATGTACATAAACAAATGTTTGTTATTACTCATAATACAATTTTCATAATGCTATTAATATGATCGCGGTTGACTCACCCAGGAAAAACCAGAGATAAAATAAGAAAATTTACTCTGGAAACCTGTTCCCATTGACAAATGTCATACGGCTGAGTATTAGCACACACTCATACATACATGCTATCATGCTTCATATCTATTAGGTAACTAAAGTACACATCTGAACATCATACTTCATAGTATAACATTACAACCATGATGTCACCTAAACCAGTCTGATCAATTTTAAATTTATAATATAATCATTTCAGTTACATACGTTGTCTACACGAGCGTTAAATGATGCCCGACATTAACTTAAAATAACAAATTAAGCAATATTTGCAGTAGATAAACAATCACTATAGATATACAACTCTTGAGCTTAAATTAAAATATTCTGCATAAAAAATGGACTGAACAATGCGCTTGTGTCCCTTAGACTGATAAGACGGCGCGTGCACGCGCCGTCTAGTAGATATGCAATTGTCCGTATAGCAATGGGGAAAATTTTAGAAATGAGCCAGTTTTTATCCGATCGTTCTAAAGCTTAACCGTTGAAAGAGGTAACGACTGAAGCAGTGTCAGTCACTTCATATGCTCCGCCTCTGTTGAAGTTCGTCTCCGCTTTAAAGTGTCGCCAAATACAATATGCTAGCATTAAGTCTTCGTTGACGGGGGTGGGTGAAGGAAACCAGGAATAACTTGACGAATTATTAAATTACAAGTTACAAAGCCTAAACCACGCCTACTATCAGAGAGGCGGTTCTCCCTTAACCCTTAGTTCAACACAGACCCGTCTATAGTCTAATGACGGGCTTTTTTGTTACCTATTATAACGAGATTTCGTTTCGCAGATTCTAATAGTTTTAACAAACAAATTGAGGATCCGAGAGTCCCAATAAACCATGTGCCCATTTAATGCTAGAAACAGTCGCTGAAATAAAACTAGTCGAATTATTTTGATCTAAAAGATCCTATGTGTATGGATGACGCAGGTACAGAGTGCCCTCCCTTTTCCTTGCTGATTTTTTCCTACATTTTTTGAAATATAACAAATATCTAACTGTTATGTTATAACGTCTAGAATCCGATAACACCTAATTCTATTCTTAACGCCATCAAACCAAATTTTAAAAGCCTCCCATCAAAAATACCTTTCCTACCCCTACCACACCTAGCCAACACACAAGGCTTGAACTGGAAACTATCTTTTATAAAGGAAGCATAATATGTTCCGTTCCGAAATATTAACGACCAATAGTTCTGTTTGGAGCTAGTCATACTCTCGGACTCGGACAAACTTCTGGTGACCTCGCTATCAATCACAACTTCTATATAGCCCCTTAAACCGACGTCACTTGCGTCAGTGAACACTGGACGAAGATTGATAAAAAAATCTTGGCCGATGTAGTTCCGATAGTCAGAAAACCCAACTAATGGTCTTACTTTTCAATCGCCCTCTATCTCTATTTTGGTCCTGAAAGAACTCATTAGCCGCTTCCATGACACCTTCATTGCTTCCAAAACGTCTACCACGAAGCTTGACTTTCAGTTTCGGAAACTGGAGGAACTCAGAGGGGGCCTAGTTCGGAAAATATATGGGGATATCAGGTTCATCATCGTAGCAAGACAAACGATATTATTATGCTGCTGACCGTTCCAAGGCGGCGCCCCACTGTGTTCCTCAGATGTTTGTCTATGTTGTTTCATACTGTTTTGGTGACACTTTTGCTTGTGTCCCTTGTTGTTTTCTCGTCTACGGTAAGTATCTTCCCCATTGCCTCTAGTTTTTATTTCTTTGATTACCCCCCCCCCCTTCCCCCGGTCTCCTGTCCCCTTCCCCTTTGTGGGCCTATTATTATTTTCTTTGAATTCCTAATCAGTTACAAATTATTGATCATTTAATGATTAACGTGTCGTTGCCCTGTCCTTTTTATGTTTGGGGTCCGCCTGGGCTCCTTGCCATTGGTTCTTGTTGCTGGGTCATATTGGGGTTGCGTTCATTGAACGCCGCCTTTCCTTGTTGGTGATCTTGTTTTTCATATCTTGAAATGTCAAGTCTGGTCCGTTTCTGGTCACCAGTCAACTGTCTGGGGACCCGTCTAGCGACAACCTTTGACATGCCATAGACACCAGTCAGAATTGCCTGAACGGAACAAAAGCATATACCTACTTCCCTAGCAATGCTTCGCAGGTCTCGCCTGCTGTCGCACATGACCACATCATGCACAGCTTCGGCAGTTTCATCGTTGATGGCCTCTTTTCGCCGCCCAGGCCGCTCATCATCTCCAATGCTCTCCCTGCCCCTCTTAAATTCAGGAGCCAATTTTGTTACAGTGCTATAGGAAGGGGACTCCGTCCTAAGTGTTTCCATGAAGTATTCATGGATTTCCTTGGGACATCCCTTTCTTACAGAGGTACTTAATGACGACTCTGATTTCAACTTTCTCCATTTGGTCTAAATGACACACCCCTCTACTGACTAAAGTGTGTTTTATGTTACTTAATTTGTATATAACCGCGTGTAACTCGGTCAGTATTCTTTAATGAGATATCGGTATCGACAATGTCAGTGTAGTGGCTAGATGTATATCGGGCCGAGAACTTTTTGATCATACCTTGTACACTCGTACATACAAAAATTAACTGCATTATCTATATCGCCAAAAAGTTTTCATATATGTTCCTACCAGAACAACATTTCTGATATAGCATCAGCATTTATAGAAACCGGGCATACTAGCTCGCCATTTGATTCAAACATGCATACATATCACATGACCTCAGTCTCACTATCTTTCCTACAACACTTATATAGACATTAACTAGCCAAAGAGACACGCCAACTTTCGTGCATAAATCAAGGTCGTACCCTTAGTCACATTCTTAATAATGGAACATAGCAAAAACTCAAAAATGTTTTATTCTTTCATCTGTGATGCACCCCTTGACTAATATTTTTTATTACTTTCAATAAAAAAATTATGGTTTTTCCAGAGCAGACTTATCTTTTTACAAAACTTTTTCTAAGGTAAAGTGTTCAAAGGCAGCTAAAAGCCCTCTTTTAAAACTTTCAATACCAAACTATTTGCGCCTGCTTTTTTCTCAATAAGAAATGTATCCCCTAGTCTTCCAACTTGAGATAGAACCCATTCATTGTTCTCTTTTGATCTACTATCAAAATATGTCTTATCTGACCAATTTTTAAATAATGAAACAGGAATTACATAGAATCCGTTATCTGAGACGCTTCAGCAACTTGTACCTCTGTAGATCTCATTTAACAGTCAGTCTGCCAAAAAACCTGGTGTCCCATTACGAAAACATAAGCCCGGTTTTCGTCCTATCGTCTTAATACGTGCACCTGAAGGTGAAGCCATGATCGATTGTGAACTGGTTGCCGGCATACGGAACATTCCTGGCCGTCATTCCTGACTGACTTTACGGTTTGCATGTAGGTGGATAAATTTTCTTTTCATTATCCGAATCTTCGGCTAGCGGGTGTGCCTCGTATTCAACTTAATGAGATTTTACGCTGCATAAGAGTGCTCGACAACTTTCTGTCGAACTGCCTCTGCTTTTAACGAACCCTCAGCTGCCATTTCACTAAGCTGACCCTCTGTCTCACGTAGACTGCCAAGTACTTTGAAATGATTTTAAACTGCTCCTAATTTCCTTTCGTTCTGTTTTCTGTTCTTTTTGTTTCTGCATTTCACAAATCTTCGTTTCAAAATCAGCTAACTTATTTGAAACAATCCTAGTTAATAATTGATGTTTCTCCATTTCTCAAATTTAAATACCACGTAGTCCGCACAACAAATCTCAGAAATTGGATTAAAACCGGCTGAACAATGCGTAAGTGTCCAGTGGACGGATTTAAACCTACTGTAAAATCCTTATAAAAAACTAACACAATATTGCATGCAAAACACGTGCAAATACTTCATGGGGTGTTCAAATATGAATGCAAGTAGGCCAATTAATGTCATGCTCTAAACCACGTTTTGCACGAACTATGTACGTATATCGCAGAGATGGTTGTGTAAGCTCTCAATTGATACAATACATGTTTAAATCAGAACAAAAGCTCGATTAACGCTATCTACTCGTGTATACTAAAGCTAAAATGGTTGTCACCGACCAAATACATGCCTATATCAAGAATCGCGGTATTCTTGATATACAGGCGTAAGACATTATTTAATGAAATATGTCGTGTTAAGGGGAACAATAACCTTCTTTTTTTCACCTGTCTCACGGTGGTGTAAGAAATTTAAAAGTGGTGTGGATTCAGTAAAAGATGCACCTCATGCACGTCGACCGAAAACGGCAATTTCGCCAAAAATAGTTGAAAAAGTAAAGGATTTGATTGCTACTGATGCAAGACTTACAACAAGACATATAGCTAAATGCGTTGGTATCTCTGTAGAAGCCGCTTATACAATTCTAAAACGTGAATTAAAAAATAAGAAGGATAAGTGCCAGATAAGAGACAAAAACTTGCTCGGGTATGAATCTCTGTTGAAACAGTTCCCTCAATACAAAAATCGTTCACACATATCAAAATATGGGCAACCAAGGAAGTCAAAGACCTTGGATAGCAAAAGGCACCATGAGCGTCAATAAAGTCATAATGTAATTTTCTTTAACAAATAAGGTCCTGCTATTCAAAATGTCGTACAAAAGCGTAGATCTGTAAATGCCAAGTTTTACAAAGGCAAGGTCCTTCATAAATTAAAGAACTATTCTTTTTAAAAAAAACCGTCAACCAGCAACTGGCCTCCGTAGCGACAGGTTGTTGCATGGCAATGCTTTGTCATACCGCGGTCATTTCATACGAGAATATCTAAAACAGGAAAAGGTTGTCGAGCTCCCCCACCCTCCTTATTCGCCAGATCTTGTCCCTTCTGAAATTTTGCTATTTCCGAGGCTCAAAAACACATCGCTTGAAAATATATATACTCTTATATTATAATTATAGTTATGTGCCATTAGTTGCAGGGTTATCAAAAATTGTGTGCAAATGAAAAATAGGTCATGTTTTGTTAAACAAACTTTTAAGGACTTAACAAGAAAAACAACTGTAGAAGACATAAATGGTGTGTCAATGCCTGCCATGACTATCTTTGCCATGTCAATTCGCTACCTTAGAAACCATCTGTTAAAACGCCTGGAAAAAGAAGAGCCATGGGTCAAAGAGAGTGATATCAAGTATATATTGACAGTGCCTGCTATATGGAAAGAAAACGCCAAACAATTCATGCGTGAAGCAGCGGTTGAGGTAATAGATTTGCATGTTTATAAAATAAAAAGAAGAGACAGAAAAAGAAGTAATGCTGATTTTGTTTTGATATTCCGGTCAAATGTACTATTGCGTGTACTAAAACAATTTAAAACATTGAAAACATTAATGATGATCAAATATAATCATTTACAATCAACATATTTCTTGTCATAAACTTACAACTTAAATATAAAATGTACACGGTATAATGCTCTTTTTCTTTTCTTTTTCATTTCTTTTTTTTCCTTCAATATTAAATTTGTATTGTGCAAAACTACCTATTTTATAAATGTACTTAAAAGGTTGGCATAAAAATTTTTCCAATCGAAACTTGGCATTAGAGAAGCCCCGAAGGCCGCGGCAAATTTGGTGCAATTTGCAAAGATACAAGGACTAATGTTATCAAAAGCAGGGACACAGTTATAATGGTGATTACCTTGGGAGTATAATACACGGAGATACATATTTTATAATTTACTTTTAAAATAAAAACTATAAAAAACATTTAAAAATTTTAAAAAAAAAAAATTTCAGGTTTACAATTATTTTGTGTTTGGTTTTATGATGTGGGAAAAGTTTTGGCCGCGTTCCACTTTCAAATTATAAATTTTTTGTTTATAATTTAAACCCACTACTTGAATTTTTTAAAAGAAAATATGTGACAAATTCCTTGCGAGAAAAAAAAACCTGTTCTTTTTTCACAAATTTTTTGGTTCAAGACTTATAACCCCCCTTTAAACCAAAATTGATGAGTTTGTTTTTTATTGTTTTTTTACTTTTTGTTGTTGATTCAGTTACATGACCTGGGATTCAGGAAAAAGTTTTTACAATTTTGGGCAAAAGGGAAAAAATCGAAAACACTGATACAAAGAAGAGCAAAAAAAGATCTGCTTTTTTTTCAAAAGTAGAATCAAAAGGCATTTAAAATGATCTTGTTCATTTAGTGAAAAACTTTCATCAAATTAAGAATTTGAATCAATTTATAAACTCAAAATATATTTTTTCTCACATGTGTACACTCTTTTAAAATAAATGAAAAATGTGAGAAAAATATATTTGAGTTTATAAATTGATGCAAATTCTTTGCTTGATGAAAGTTATTCATTAAATGAACAAGATTGTTTAAGATCCTATTGATTCTTCTTTTGAAAAAAAAATCTTTTTTTTTTTGCTCTTCTTTGTATCAGTGTATCGATTTGTTCCTTTGACCAAACATGCAACTGAGCTTGCAACATTTTCAAAGTTTATGTTTTGAAAGTTATTTAGGTTTTTTGTTTCTTTCCTCTATTTTAGGTGGCACTGGAGATATATCAGTACATGAAAAGCAAATTAATGGTTCATTAAAAGAGATACACAAGCCTAGTGGAGGACCGTTCGGTGGAACTCAAGTTGACGACAACTTCATGAATTGGCTTACTAAATTATTTGGTAACTCTACCATGTAAAAATTTAAAGAAGACGAAATGGAAACTTACTTCATTTTGCTTCGACAATTCGAGTCAAATAAACGACTCATGCGATCAGACGTCAGTGGTAAAATTACATTTAATGTAGGCCTATATAGACTTTTAGAATCTTATAAACGGAACGAGGACATGTTAATCGAGGAAAAGGCTGCTTCTCTTGGACTTGCACATAAAGTGAAACTTTATCCTGACAAGCTTAGAGTAGACGCTTCTATAATTAAAGAATGGTTTGATTTGCCAGTAAAAAAGATAATATCACATGTTAAAGATATTCTTGCTGAGCCAAATATGAAGAATGTCAAAACTATTATGTTAGTTGGAGGGTTTGGTGAAAGTGACATAGTTTATGAAGCAATGCGAGCAACCTTTGAAAACACCCACACAATTATAAGGCCGCATGAAGCAAGTTTAGCAGTCCTTAAAGGAGCCGTACGATTTGGTCATATTCCAGATATAATTCGTAACAGAATCATGACCGCTACATATGGCATTCACATGACAAAGTATTTTGATAAGGATAAACATCCTTCTTCGAAATTAATAATACTGAATAACAAAGAAATGGTTGACGACATATTTTGCATTTTTGTTCGCAAAGACGATAGTATAGAATTAGGCAAACAAATACGCAAAACATTTACTCCAAATGATCTTCAAAAATCGAGTGTATCTATATATAAATCAACAAAACTTGATCCGGAATATGTAACAGATGAAGGGTGTACAAAACTTGGTGCACTGACTATAGAACATCCAGAGGGAAAAACATTCGAAGACAAGAAATTTGATACAACATTTGTGTTCGGTGACACGGAGCTATTTGTAAAGGTGAAGATTAAAAAAACAGGACAGGAATTTGATAAATATATTAATTGTTTAGAACAGTAACATATTTAACGAATGTAAACGTATGGTTTTATGATGAACTATTACAATATTTTTCTTGTTATGACTTAGTTACATTTCCCACTGTAATATATGATTTACGGAATCGATTTTACTGTGTTCATTGATAAAGCAGATATATTCGCCGTGTATATAGGCACATCATGCTTCAGAAATAAAATGTGTTTTTTCTCCCTTCTTTAGAAAGGGAAAACATCAGTTTTATAACGTATAAATGTTGATTTTAGAGTATGTTTGATGCTTTTCACCCAAAGAAAGAAGTTCTGAATGTTACGAAAGACCGGTAGGGCCATTTTAACTTCATGAATTCCCGATTTCAGCTTCATGAATTCACAATTTGAACTTCGTGAATTCCTGTCCCGTCAAGTTGAAATCGTGAATCCATGTAGTTGAAATTGTGAATTCGTGAAGTTGAAATTGTGAATTCGTGAAGTTGAAATTGTGAATTCGTGAAGTTGAAATTGTGAATTCATGAAGTTGAAATTGTGAATTCTTGAAGTTGAAATTGTGAATTCGTGAAGTTGAAATCGGGAATTCATGAATTTGAAATGTCACCATCGGTTTTTTATAGAATGTAGAACTATTTATCCTAAAAGTAGTAAATTGTAAACAAGTAGTATTTTGACTTACATATAATAGTCAGTAGCAAGCTGTTGTTTCCGTGAGCAAGAAACTTTACACAAATTGCTTAATTAGCACTGGTTGGATCGAGAGTGTTCCAATAAGCATATAGGTTTTAACAAAATAAATTAGTATAATCTAAATATCGACTGTAAGATAGTGTACATATATTCGACGACTATTCTTGCCATAGACAAGGGACATTATGCCCTTTCAAGGTTTTTTAGGCATTGAACAGGTAAAATGTTCACATTTTGCTATAATTCCACGAAGTCAAAGGAAATTTCTGTAAACATCAATTGGAATTTACCTGTCACTGTCAATTTATAACAAGAGTGGGGTCGCCTATTTTGTACCGCATTTTTATACATCATTATTTTTTTAATAATTTTTGTATTTTAGTTTTGTATAAACAGTTAAACCCTCGTATTTAGACCGCCAACGTGTCTTCGTCTATGATGCTTTCAGTCAATTATCTTAATCAAAATGGGTGTATTGATTTTATTGTCAGGAGTAAAATAGGAATAGATAGAGACTGAAACCAATGGAAATTTGGTTCTTTTAAAACCCGATCTAAATTGTGGTATGGTCTAAGGATTCATATATCACACCATGAGATTTATAAATTGCACTTTACATTTTTTTAACTTTGGGCGTATTTCACCATGAGCTTTATGATCTGAAATCGTTATTGCCTTTCAAGGTATATTTAAAAATGAGGTTTATATTATTAAACTGAATTGTTTTTGTCATTCAGGATATATTTATACATGAGACTTATAAACTGCTTTGTTTTCGGGACCAGATTCATAAACTTTTTTTTTTTGTAATGAGATCTGATATTTGTTTGTTTGTTTTTGTCATTTATGACGTATGTAAACATAAGACTTATAAACGGAATTGTTTTGTCATTCAGGACGTATTTCAACATGAATTTTATCAACTGATTTTTTTGTTATTAGTATTTATTATTTTGGACTACGTGTATTCAAAAGATTCATCAACTATTTTTTTTTTTTATTCTTTGTTTATGCAATTTAGGACGTATTTCAATATGTGATTGATAAAATGATTCATTTTTGTCATTAAAACTCATTTTAATATGAGATTTTAAAGTGATTGTTTTTGCTATTTAGGACGTGTTTCAATATAAGATTAATATACTGAATAGTTTTTGTCATGGAGGACGTATCATAAAATTACATTAATAAACTGCTAAATTATACAGTTGTTTTGTTATAATATTATTATTATTTGCAAAACACGTTGAAGAAGCCATCGTTTCATTTATGCATCATTTGTATCCCCGCCTCATTCCAAGGAAAAGCTGGTATTTCGAATTTAAGGATTATTAAACCACCGGTAAAGGTCATGACTTTGGTGACAATCAGGTAATGTGGTTATCCCTATTATGAGATATTATTATGGAACGCCGTGACTGTCTTATGTGATCACTTGTTTGCTATCTTGTGAAATGATGATACTATTTTGTCGTTACAGCATGCTAACATGTGTAATTCACATCATATCTTGTCAAAATACCATGCTGACTTGTTCAAACAGCATGTTAACTTGTGAAATAACTAGAGGATGCTTTTGTAAAAAAGCGCATGTCTCCCCCACTGCACTGTGACCTTGACCTTTGACCTACTGACCCAAAAAACAATAGGGATCATCTGCTCTATAAGACCAATCATCCTATGAAGTTTGAGGGCTGTAGGTCAAAAGGAACTCTAGTTATCATCCGGAAACGAGAAATTGACCAACGGTCACTGTGACCTTGACCTTTGACCTACTGACCCCAAAAACAATAGGGATCATCTGCTCTATAAGACCAATCATCCTATGAAGTTTGAGGGCTGTAGGTCAAAAGGAACTCTAGTTATCATCCGGAAACGAGAAATTGACCAACGGTCACTGTGACCTTGACCTTTGAACTACTGACCCCAAAAACAATAGGGATCATCTGCTCAATAAGACCAATCATCCTATGAAGTTTGAGGTCTGTAGGTCTAAAGGAACTTTAGTTATCATCCGGAAACGAGAAATTGACCAACGGTCAGTGTGACCTTGACCTTTGACCTACTGACCCAAAAACAATAGGGATCATCAGCTCTATAAGACCAATCATCTATGAAGTTTGAGGGCTGTAGGTCAAAAGGAACTCTAGTTATCATCCGGAAACGAGAAATTGACCAACGGTCACTGTGACCTTGACCTTTGACCTACTGACCCCAAAAACAATAGGGATCATCTGCTCTATAAGACCAATCATCCTATGAAGTTTGAGGGCTGTAGGTCAAAAGGAACTCTAGTTATCATCCGGAAACGAGAAATTGACCAACGGTCACTGTGACCTTGACCTTTGACCTACTGACCCCAAAAACAATAGGATCATCTGCTCTATAAGACCAATCATCCTATGAAGTTTGAGGGCTGTAGGTCAAAAGGAACTCTAGTTATCGTCCGGAAACGAGAAATTGACCAACGGTCACTGTGACCTTGACCTTTGACCTACTGACCCCAAAAACAATAGGGATCATCTGCTCTATAAGACCAATCATCCTATGAAGTTTGAGGGCTGTAGGTCAAAAGGAACTCTAGTTATCATCCGGAAACGAGAAATTGACCAACGGTCACTGTGACCTTGACCTTTGACCTACTGACCCCAAAAACAATAGGGATCATCTGCTCTATAAGACCAATCATCCTATGAAGTTTGAGGGCTGTAGGTCAAAAGGAACTCTAGTTATCGTCCGGAAACGAAGAATGGACGGACGGACTGACGGACTGACGGACGGACGGACGGACGGACAGGGCAAAAACAATATGTCTCCCCCCGAGGTGGGGGAGACATAATTATGATGACATGTGCAGACAACATGTTAACTTGTCGGAGTATCATGATGACATGTGCAAACGACATGTTAACTTGTCAAATTTTCATGATGACATATATGCAAACAGCATGTTACCTTACCGAATTATCGTGATGACATTCTCATGATACTTTGAGAAGTTAACATGTGTTTTGAACAAGTCATCACGATACTTTGACAAGTTAACATGTTGTCTTTACAAGTCATCATGATACTCCGACAAGTTAACATGTCGTTTTCACAAATCATCATGCAACACGTTTGGTCGTCAATATTCTTCTTTTTTTGTTACATTCATTGTGTATTTTACTATGGAGAATCAGCGGAGCGACAACCTTCCCGGCTCGTGAAAATATGTGGCATTTTATCATGTTGAATGAAAAATATATACCATATTTCAAGAAAAACGGAAAAAAAACTTTTTATTTAATTTTATTATCAAAGAAAAATGGTTACGGACCCCCTTGCTTGTTGCAACTGTACAGCGTGCAGTAATATATTATTTATAAATGCGTCTTGTTTTGCACGCGATATTTGGCGCTACATTGTGACGTCACGTAAACAACTCTTTACACGTATGTACAGCGTTAATGACTGAATAAAAGATATTGGTGTTCGGATTTATTTTCTTAGTGAGACCATTTCCTATCATTCTAGATAGTTTTCAAAACAAAATTCAACAAAAAGTTTTTTGTATTTTTCAGATTTTTCAAACAATATGGCGAAAGAAGTCCCTTAAAATAAATATGAGTTTTGACTGATATAACACCATATTTCATGGGTAAAATTTAATAATAATTATTATTATTATTATTATTATTATTATCATTATTATTATTATTATAACTATTATTATTTTTATTATTATTATTATTATTATTATTATTATTATTATTATTATTATCTAACAAAAAAGAAAAGCCGATGTGATTCATAAATTTCTATGGATACCTACTTTCGGTTTTAATGTTACTTAAAACGAAAGTAGAAAAAAGATAATATCAAAGTCAATTCATTTTATATGTTTACTAAATTTCTAAATTCACGTTTAATTAATAATCTAATGGATATAATATTCTAACATTTGATTTAGAATACATTTAAAAATATTTTAAGTAAATAATCTTAAACCGGAAATTTCTGTATATGCGCGAGCACATTTCGTTTCCAAAGCAGGATTTTGAGGACGGTTTTCTTGAAATTTGACTGAAAATGGAATGCTCAATCATTTTTGTTGTCGTGATATTACTTCATGTTAGAATTGTTCAAGGTCAAGATGAGGTCTGTAATAAAGATGGCGATTGTCCGAGCGGTATGTATAATCTGTGTAATCGTTTTATTGACAACCTTTTTGATGTACATCGTTATCAACACTGAGAAATCAAAAGTTTTAAAATGTTAACAACTACGTCAAACCTATTTTAATTACTACTGTTAAAAATTCTTTTATTCTTTTTGAACTATTTATATGCTACGTATATAATATTTGTATTATTCTGATATTTGAAGAAATAAACATGCTTTTGAAATTTAATGTAGGTACAACATTTGCAATTTCTATTTAGTATAGAAAAATCTCTAGGATATTGTTGATATTAAATATTTAAACCATTTGTACAATTTAAACAAGGACGATCCGCTTCGTTGAACATAAATACATGTAGCTTGTACGTCCTCAAGATCGTTAAACTTTAGCATATATCTTGTTACAATTAAAATCGATAAGGTGTATCGATTAGTTCTAAATTTACACATAATCTTTAAACAGTTATTTGATTTTATTGTTTTGATAAAAGATCAGAAAATCATATCGTATATCAGGTTAATTATTAACCTTTAAACCAAGTTAATTGTATACATTTGTATAAATCTAACTGACGTTGAAGGAGCTCCACCGAGGACCAAAAGAATAAAAGATTAAATTTAAAATTCTCATACATACATGTATCAGTCAGTGAACTTGAAACAAAAATAAAAATGCAAAATGATAATGATGATGTATAGTCAGAATTATTATTATTATTTATTTTTATTTTATTTGTTTTTATTTGTTTTATTTATTTATTTATTCATTTTTTGTGAGATGTTTAGCTTGATTCGAAATAAAAGCGTTTTTAAAAGCGTTTTTTTTTTGTTTGTTTTTGTTTTTTTGTTTTGTTTTTTTTTGTTACATATTGCACAAAGTGAAATTATTTTAATTTTGGGAAAACGGGGTAAGAAAATGATTTTATTAATCCAGACCATCGATCATCAAATGGTACAAAATTCTCAAAAAAAAAATCCAGTTCCTTCATTCAAAAACAGTCCAGTGGAGTCGCTTTAACGGTTTTATGTATTTATTTCGACATTTTGCCTTAGGTAGATTTTTTATTTGAAATTCTCTACAATTTATCTGTATCTATAGATCTCTTACCAATACGGTCAATATATCTATCATCCATGTCCAACTTTATTATCTTTGTTCTTTTTTGCGCATGCCTTTTATAAATTTATCGCAGACTTATCTAATTAAAAATCAATATCTTCAAAATCATATATGAATTTGTATATGCCTTTTGTGTACCCAAATATATTAATCAGCTCTAAAAACATATTTAAGATGTAGACAATTCCGTGCTTGTGGCTGCGTTTGATTTTGGGACAACATACAGTGGCTATGCATTTTCTTTCCGGGATAAACCTATGGATATCCAAGCAAGTCAAGATTGGACTTATGGATATCGTGTGCCAAGCAAGACAGCAACTAGTGTGCTTCTCACTCCTAGTAAAGAATTCCATTCATTTGGGTTCGAGGCTGAAGATAAATATCTAGGTCTAACCGAGGAAGACACACATAAGGGCTGGCTTCTTTTTAGAAGATTCAAGATGATTCTTCACAATAAGAAGGTAAATATGGTCGACACGTAATATTATTTTACATTTTGTAGAATATAACCAATGCACTTTCAGCGTTTGCATCATGTGATGTTCCAATAGAATAAGTCTTATCAATTTAGCCTCGTTTTCATACAGAGTTCAAACAGTCCATATCAAATCCATATCACACCACAAACAACTTAGTTTGGAAGATTTCAATTTCATGGTCCAACAGATTTATATCAAATCTCAATCCCACCAAATCTGCCATAGTTTTCATTTTTTGAGAGTCCAAAATCCATATTGTAATCCTTATTGTAATAAAAGTAACTAAATTCTGTCAAAACGTCTATTGGACTCGAACACAGCTGCAAATCCTATACCAGAGTCGTCCAATTAAGAAATAATATCGGTCGTAGCGGTGTTTATCGGCTATTTAACACCGGTTTGGAGTTATGGTGCGTATGAATTGACCACGAAGGCCGTATGCATGAGTGGTTAATGTTTTCGCATCAAAACGACAAAACCGGTGTTAAATAGCCGATAAACACCGCTAAGACCGCTATTATTTCGATTCTAACACGATAAAATAAGAAAGATCACTAATGTTATTTTTTCAAGCGTAAATAACTTCCGGTTCCGATTTTCGTATAACGCTATTCGATGTTAGCACCCTACTGTTGCGAAGATATAGGAATTCTTAAACAAAAGATATAATAAGAAAATAAAACGTTATTTTATCAAGTTTTCAACAATAAAAACTTACGTCGTATTGTGTTTACATCAGTGCCCCATTTATCATTCTTCTATGTATGAAATAACGTCAGCTTGTTTATGAATGAGTTGTTTACCTAAGTTTGGTTATACAATAAGCTGATTATAATAGTTTAAATAACTGTATATCAAATAAAATTGGAATTTAATTAATAATACTAATACTGATGATGGTGCAGTTCTATTTACAGAAAAGTTAATCGAAATGTCTGAGAAATTTATTCCACATAAAGAAGTAACAATTCGGCCGTATGACAAACCATGGTACGACTCTAAAATTAGATTACATGTATATTCAAGAAAAAGGGATAGACAAAAATCAATAGCAATTTCTACAAAAATACTAACCATTGGACAATGTATAAACATTTAAGGAACAAAGTAAACAATCTAAAGAAAATGCCAAAGAAAAGTGTTATTCTAATTTAGAGAACACTTTAATAGAAACAAATGCAAATAATCCTAAACAATATTGGAAGTTAATATGCCAGTTCATAAAAACAGAAAGATGTTCAGAAATTATTCCGCCTTTGAAGACTACAAATAACGATGGAATAGAATCATTATATTTCTCAGACTTAGAGAAGGCCAATTGCTTAAACCAATATTTTGCGTCAATTTCTCATTTAAACGATACGGACAAGACCCTTCCCACTTTAGATGATTACACACATTCTATTATTTCTGAAATAGCTATAACCGAAAATGAAATAATTGATATTATAAGGAATTAAGATATTAATAAGGCAGTCGGTGAAGATCTTATAAGTCATAATAGTACTGTGTGTAAACCCTTGTGTTTATTACTAAATAGGTCACTAGCAGATTGTATATTTCCTTCCATGTGGAAATCCGCTATTGTAATGCCTCTTTTTAAGAAAGACTTCAAATTATCGTCCGATTTCATTATTAAGTTGTATAGGAAAATTAATGGAGAGAATTGTTTATAAACATATATACAATCATTTAATAGCCAATAATTTGATTTATTCGAAACACTCAGGGTTCATTTAAGGTCATTCAACGATTTTTCAATTATTAGATATATACCATCATCTTTAGATGATAAACATTTACTTGTGTAGTGTTTTGTGAAATATCAAAAGCGTTTGACAGAGTATGGCACAAGGGTTTACTTCTGAAACTTCAGAAAAATGGTATCAAAGGCAACTTGTTGAAATGGATTAAAAGTTATCTAATTAATAGAAGTCAAAAGGTCTTTGTAGGGTCTTCTTTATCACAACCACTGACTGTAAACACAGGGGTCCCCCAAAGCTAGGTGCTTGGGCCATTATTCTTCCTTGTTTACGTTAATGATATTGTAGAAAATTTGCTATGTATAACTATGTATTATTTTCAGACGACACCTCTTTGTCTTGTACAACATCATCAATGTTCGATCTAGAAGGAATTATTAATCATGATTTAGCTTTTATAAACTTATGGTCCAAAAAATGGCTTGTAGATTTTAATCCTAACAAAACAGAAGCGACTGTTTTTACTTTACAATTCAACGTTAACAAACCAAAATTACAATTTGATGGCATACCAGTAAAATTTGTTGAAAGTCATAAACATTTAGGTTTAACTTTTAGTTCTAATGGAAAATGGCACGATCATATTAAAAGTATAACATTATCGGCTTCTAAATTACTAGGTACAATGAGAAAACTGAAATATTCCCTTAATTGGGAAACCCTAAATCAAATTTATATTTCATTTCTTAGACCTATTTTAGAATATGCTTCTGTAGTCTGGGATGGGTGTACAAATTATGAAAAAGATACGTTAGATAAAATACAGCATGAGGCAGCCAGAATCGTTAGCGGTCTAACCCGTTCAGTTTCTCTCCAAAATTTATATAAAGAAATTAATTGGCTCTCACTATCTGATAGACGAACGTACCAATAACTTATTTTTACATATAGAATTCATAATGGAGACGTTCCTGATTATTTAAGTAATATTTTTCCAGAAAGACTTCATAACAATCTTAGAACTCAGAATTAAGACTTTGCAACTTAAAACAGACGAACTCATATATTTTCTTCTTCTTTTGTCCGTGATGCTATGGAACAGTTTGCAATCTGAAACAAGATCTGTAGAAACTCTGTCACATTTTAAATCTCTATTAAAGAAATCAACCTTTTGATCTACAGACACTCCAAAATGGTACCTTACAGGTGAAAGAAAACTCTGTTTTACACTGCAGACTGAGAAATGCATGCAGTAACTTAGATTTTCACTTATTCTGCAATCATTTGTTACAAGATGCAAATTGTTCATGCGGTTATGAGATAGAAGATGTTAACCATTTTTTGTTTACTTGTCCGAAATATCGAAATGAGAGAATTGATCTTTTTAACGAATTAAGGCAATAGCACCCTTTTCCAATTACTTTTAGATGGTAACAAAGAGTTGTCTTTAGAAAATAATAGTAAAAATATTTTTGACTGTTCAGCATTTCATTAAAGTAAGCAAACGCTTTTGATTTTGAAATCAAACCAGCACAATCCCAATAAATATTAATGTATTTTTCTGTCATTTTTACAAAACAACAGACAAGATTCTCTCCTTTCTTCTTCTTTATTTTCCTTCTATATTTCATTTTCTCAAAATCTAATTGCATTCTGTTTGTTTTTGTTATATTTGGCAAATGTACATGTATATGTTTTCTAAGTATTGTCACGCAAATTATATAAAAATCAGTTAACATCGTTAGATACTATTCAAGCTAGAGAACATGTACATCCAATCATTTTTATTGTTCTTTCTTACCTAAAATCATTTTTAAAGCCAAGTACTATATATGTGTGAGTTTTAATACTGCTATCTAACTGAAAGTCATTCTTGTGAAATATGTTATTGTAATTTATTGCATCAGGGAAGACCCGTTGCTAATGTTGAGAGAACTTGTGGGTCAACCCTTTTGCCAAATATGCCATGTCATTGTATTGTAACTGTCTACATGTATGTATATGTCTTATTTTTGGCAATAAAATGTGTTTTAATCAGTTGTTTACTTAGGATGACGTCATTACGCTGCTTACGGATCGGCGCCGTTTTGTCAAAATATTTATTAACTGATATGGATCAAATATGTGGCGTTAGTGTATGTGAGATATTATTTCGGTATTATATGAAAAGAAAACAGTATAAGAACTGAAATAAATAAAAATGCTTTTTATTGTTGCTTTCAAAGACTTTGTAAACTATATAATCGAGGGTGATAACATAACAGCCGGTATACAAGTAGTCCCTAGTTTTTATAGCCCGAAAGAATTTCGGGAATATTATATTATACCCCCTGGCGTCCGTCCGTCCGTCTGTCTATCCGTCCGTCTGTCCGTCCGTCCGTTAGCAATCTGAATTCCGGAGCATAACTTAAGTTCCATTTGGCCCACAATATTCAAACTTCATAGGATGATTGTCCATATTGGGTAGAACACCCCTATTGATTTTGGTGTCACAATGTCAAAGGTCATGGTCACTATCGCCTAAAAACTTAAAACAGTGTCCGGAGCATAACTTAAGTTCCATCTGGCCCACAGTGATCAAACTTCATAGGATGATTGTCCATATTGGATATAAGACACCTATTGATTTTGGGGTCAAATGGTCAAAGGTCAAGGTCATTATTGCTTTAAAACTGAAAACAGTTTCCAGAACATAACTTAAGTTCCATTTGGCCCATAGTGTTCAAACTTCAAAGGATTATTGTCCATATTGGGTAGAAGACCCCCATTGATTTTGGGGTCACAAGGTCAAAGGTCAAGGTCACTATTACCTTAAAACTGAAAACAGTTTCCGGAGCATAACTTAATTTCTATTTGGCCCATAGTGTTGAAACTTCATAGGATGATTGTCCATATTGGATAGAAGACTCCTATTGATTTTGGGGTCAAATGGTCAAAGGTCAAGGTCATTATTACTTTAAAACTGTAAACAGTTTCCAGAACATAACTTAAGTTCCATTTGGCCCACAGTGTTCAAACTTCATAGGATTATTGTCCATATTGGGTAGAACACCCTTACTAATTTTGGGGTCACACAGTTAAAGTTCAAGGCCAGTTCAAACAGTTTACAGAGCATAACTTAAGTTCCCTTTGGCCAACAATATTTTAACTTTATAGGAGGATTGATATTTGAAGGAGGTAATACTTTATTTAATTTATGTAATTTCTTACAAATGCTTCATCGAGACTAAAAATAAAAAAAAACACTTTCGGGCATATAATGCTCCACCTAGCGTTGCT